CTTGATGGGCCGCCTTCTTGCCTTTGTCTCGCTTTACTCCTGCGGTTCCTGGAATCAGTCCAATAAGCTGTTGATATTTGGGGTTTTGCCCCGGGGACTTCTCTGCTTCTAGGAGAACATAAATAAAACACTTGCCTCCCTCTCCAGGATTCAGGGGCTCTACCCATCTATCCTATCCCTCCATCTTTCTTTTAGATCAAGAGTAGACATCTCCAGCTTTCTTCCCACCCTCCAGCTTTATCTTGGACAACTCCACTTTGGAGAACACACAACCAGGGATGATGGCCTTCGTCTGTATCTCTCTGTCTGGGCAGAGAGCACCCAGGGCTGCCTATAGCTCTCATGTCTGGGCCCAGGATGGGACCATGGGGACTGCCCCGGCACTGGGTACTTTGTGAACTGTTCCAGCATGTCTCTGTTTCTTTTTATTCTTTATCTGTGGTTTGTTTTCTCATTACAAGAGCAGCAGCTTCTCCCAAGAGGAAAAAAGAAAGAAGTTTTCCCTCTCCTTCTCCCCAGGTTTCTCCCTTTGCAACTTGCAGTTCTGCCTACCAGGGGTTGATCATCTATTGCCGTTACAGGCACAGGAGCAATGAGGACAGCCAGGGAAGGAAGACACAGTCCAGCCTGCTTCTGTTTTCTTTTGCTTTCTGCTCTTCTGTACAACACAGTCCTTGTAGTGTTCTGCGTCGTGCACATAACAAACACTAGATTCTTCAGCAAAATCTTTTCCCATTTTAGCTCGGTCTCCTCACTTAACTGGCTAAGACATGACTGGTAGATTGGAGACTTCCCAGGCAAGGAGCAGAGAATAGACCTAGCAGAGGTCTTCCATTCTGTTGGCCAACCTTGGTATAAAGGGGACTAAGACCGCCATTAATATTGTTCTGTGGTGACCCATGATAGTGGAGATAGTCGATGCTGCTCCATGGAAGCCTGTGAGCCTGAGCAGGGGTGGAGGTTTGGGTGCTACTGTAGGCTGTCTTAGGAGGAAGAGAGCCTGGCTAAGTGAGGTCATGCCGTGGGGCATGTGAGATGGCTCTGTTTCCTTATACCTCTCCCATACCCCACCCCCAGCACTGGATACTGATCCATATCCCCTAGGGGAACCTGCTTTCCTCCGCCCCCACCCCAATCTTTGTGTTCTTTCTCTCTCCCAAGTAATCCTCCCCACAGGGAAGGCAGGCCTGGCTTAGGGAGTTTGGCCTAGGGTTTGGGGAAAACTTCCAGTGCTGGTTCTCCAGCAGAACAGTAGGAGCAGGGGATAGACAGGGCTATTGGGCTGATTGACATTTGCCAAGAGGACTGGAGTGGTAAAGAAAGCTCAGGCCCCTATCAGTTCCCTCTACCCCAGTTTTAGAAGCCCAGAGCCAAGCACAGAAAATTTCTTTTGCATAGAAAAAGACTGGGGATTCTGTACTTTCTCAACATCCACTTCTTCTCTGCCAGGGCCTTTCAATCTACTTTTTTCCTACTGTCCGAGAGCCTATCCAGATGCAGAAGGAATAAAGAAGAGCAGTGAGGGGTTGCTCTACAAGGCCACCCCCTTCTATCATCTCCTCCACTTGGTGGTTCTTGAAACCATCCCTAGCAGAGTTCAAGCTAAGCTGGCCCTGGAAGAAGGAGGATGGAGCTCAGAGTTGATGTTTCATTAGCATATTCATCCATAGTAATCAGAGACCTGCTGTGATCAAAAGCTCTCTTCAGGATTCCCTGCCTCTCAGGCAGGTTGAGAAGCTGACGGAAGGTGGTCAAGTCCCCACTTGAGAGGACTGCCAGGAGGGAATGGGGAAGAGTGGAGAGAGGACAGTACCCCTGGAGAAGGGGTTTCTGGTAGGAAAGAGTGTTGGCGCCTTGTCATCGCATCTACCTCCAATATCACCCGTTCCCATGGCCATGGGGCTCCCAAGAAGGCATCCATGAGAAAGAACAGTTTGTTTTATTATTTGCTGTATTCCATATAAGTGAAAACAGCAATCACCTCACTCTCTGACAGCCTAGATACTATGGCCTAGTGTGAAGCCAAAGAAAACAGTAAGTTGTTTCGTTTTTTAAATTTTACTTTATTTATTTCTTTATTTGTTGGGGGTGGGGGTGCTTCCATGTGCCCACTGCACTTACAGAGGTCAGAAGAGGACACATGGAGGGAGCTGGCCCTCTCTTACCATACAGGTTTAGGACTGAACTCAGGGTGTCAGAGTTGGCAGCGAGAGCCTTTTACCCACTGAGCTATCTCACTGGCTCCTGATTTTAAGTTATGTGGAAGGAAATATTAAATAGCAATGAATTTGGAAGTCATTGTCACTGTAGCATGCCTGATGGGCATCTGGGATGCTGGTGTGTGCATATGTGTGTTCATGTGTGGGTGTGTTCATGTATGGGTGCATATGTGTCGAGCACAGAAGGGAGTCAGTGTACGGCCTCATGTTATTCCTCACAGACCTTTCACCTTCTGTTTGAGACAGGGTCTCCCATTGGCCTGGGACTTTACCAAGTGGTCAGCAAGCCCCAGGGACCCCCTTGACTTCGTTTCCCATCATACAACACCATGTCCAGCTTTTTATGTTGGTTCTGGGGGTCCAAACTCAAGTCCTCATGCTTGTGAAGCGCACGCTTTCCCAGCTGAGACATCTCCCAGTCCCGGGCATTGGTTTCTAGTGGACTCTGGCTTCCCCTGTGTAACAAGCCAGGAAAAAGAACAAGGCAGAGGCCACAGTGCTTTCATGACCTAAAATGGAGAAGTCATGTGCTATCATTTTTGTTATAGTCTGTTGACCACACAGACCAGCAAAAACACATTATGAATGGAACCTGCTTAAGCACTTTGGGAACCATCATCTTGGACATATGGAAAATACTAGCTTGAGCCAACAGAACCGGAGTTCATTTCTGCAGGATGTTGGACTCCCGTGTGTGCTGTGAATCACATTTCCCAGCGGTGCGGCCACGGCCCTCTTGTAGGGAGGAGACTGGGACACCTGTAAGGAAGGTGCTGTGGCATACCTGGCCTAGAGAAGAAGTCTAAACTTCTTAGTGTTCACATTCCCACACAGTCTGGCAGGAACCTCCAATGCAAACTTTTCTCCCCTTTACACCCGCATGAGTATGTGTATGTGTGGGGGCATGTGTCATTGCATGTGTGGGGGCGTACATGCATATTGAGCATGTGAAAGTCCACGACTGATGCTTTCCTTGGATTCTCCCTTGACCATTCAGCTTACTCATTGAGACAGGGTCTCTCAGTCAAACCCAGAGCTCATCCATATGTCTAGGCTAGCTAGCATTCTTGTTACGGGAACCCCCGCCCCTGCCCTTTTAGCACTGCCGTACCCCCAGCATTTCTGTGGGTGCTGGGGCTATGAAGTCCTCACGTTTACGTGACAAGCACTTTAAGCATGGAGCCATCGCCCCAGCCCCATGCCCTTATTCCCATTCTCTTTCTCTCTTTTTATTTTCTCCTTCTGTCTCTCCTTCTTTCCTTCTCTATTTATTTTGAGACAGAGTCCCCTGTATCTCTTGCTTAACCTCCAACCCACTGTGTAGCCAAGGATGAACTTCCAATCTTCCTGTCTCCACCTCGAGAATCCTGGGATTACAGGTGTGCACCACCAATTCTGGTATTATGTGGCACTGGGTATTGAACCTGGTGCTTCCTTCATGGAGGCAGGCACTTTTCCAACTGAGCTACATCCCTCAGCCAGCGATTCACTAATCTGATCCATAGAAACTTGCCCTTAGAGACATTCTTTGGGCTCTTTGTTCTGCTCTCTTTCCTCTTCAGTTTTTGAGTTTATACTTATTCCCTGAGGGTTGGGGGAAGGCCACAGTCTCTGTAAATCTGCCCCTATATCCCACACACAAAAAAATTATTATTCTTTGCTGTTTTGTTTTGTTTTGTTTTGTTTTTGGCCAGGTGTGGTGGCTCATATCCTAATCCCAGCACTTGGGAGGCTGAGGCAGGAAGATCCCCAGCAAGTTTGAGGCTAGCCTGAACTACATAGTGAGTTCCAGGCCAGCCCAGACTACCGAGTGAGAGACCCTATCTAAAAAAACAACAATAACAAAGCAAGACAAAACCAAAACACCAAACAAACAAAAACACCAACCCAAAACAGTGTTTTCCTCCTTTGCTTCTTTTTTTACATGGTTACATATTTGGGGTGGGGGTGGGGTACCCATACACTGACCCTTGTTCCACTCTCTGCCTGCGAATTCCCTCCTCTTCCAGGCATTTAATTCCAGTACCGCATGCTGCGTGTGACAGAGTTTAGTGCTGGAGTTCAGGGACAGTCTGGTAAATGAGGCCTTGTTTTTTTTTTCCTTTCTCCTTGCTTCTGAGCAAGGTTTCTGATGAGTCAGGAGCAAGCCTTTGGTTAAGGCCAAACTAGGAGATCCTCCTGCCCAGAAGCCATGCAGCCCTGAAGCTGGAGTCATGCCCTCTGTAACCAGAGAGGGTATTCCCCATCTATACCCACAGCCCAGGGTTCAGGATGGGCAGACTCATACCCTGGAACAGCTCAGCATCGCTGGTGGTCTGATGGATGTCATGTTGCCAGGCCCTATTTGTAAGCTGGGGTTCAGTGGGAAATTCATTCCAGAACCTCCCAGATACCCCTTGATGCCCTAATACACCTTCCTAAGTGCCTCTGGGAAATATAGTGAGTTGATTTATAGTTTATAGACTTCATTTTAGAGATAACCCTTTCTAAATATGGCCAAAGCCTGCAGCGGGGGAGAGCCTGTCAGGATGCCTTCCTGCGGCACCTGTGGCGTTCCTTTTTCTTGAAGAAGCAAGCTGGGGTGACCTCGGTGCTGGAGACCTCTTTATGGACTGATGTGGTACTGCCCGGAATGGAAGGGCCCATCTAGTCTGACCTCTTGCCCAAGCTCTTGGCATGTCAAAGCCTAGACCTGGCCAGCCACCTACCTGGCCAGAACCACTGGGGTCTTTCTCCTTGGAGGGCCCTTCCAGAGGTTTTCCAGTTCCTTTCCTCCCACAGTGGCGTGGGCCTGGCAAGAGCACATTTTGAAAAGCAGCCCCCCTCCAACCTCAGGAAGTCCAACTTCTTCCACTTCGTGCTGGCCATGTACGACCGGCAGGGGCAGCCCGTGGAGGTGGAGCGCACAGCCTTCATCGACTTCGTGGAAAAGGATCGAGTGAGAGGCTCATGGGCTAGCCTGGGACTAGCGCTGGGAGTGATGGGAGGGCTGCAGGGAGCCTGCCACATACACACGCACACTGGGGAAGATGAGTGGATAGATGCCAAATGATTGGGAAAGGATGGGCGAGTGGCTGGAAGGCAAAGAAGGATCGTGGGTTAGGATGGAGGGTACGGGTGAAGGGAGCATGGGTGAAGGAGGTTGAAGGCCCCGAGCACTTGAGCATCCTTCTGTCTTGCCCTTGCAGGAGCCTGGGACAGAAAAGACAAACAATGGGATCCATTACCGCCTCCGGCTGGTGTATAACAATGGTAAGCAAAGTTTGGACAGCTCGGTACCCTGGGACACACAGCGCCTCACTGGAGGCCTTGGGCATCCTCATGCTCCCTTGACAGCCAGCTCTTTCTGCCTTCTCACCCTAGGGCTTCGAACAGAGCAAGACCTCTATGTGCGTCTCATTGACTCCATGTCAAAGCAGGTGAGCCAGCCTGGGGGCTGTTCTGGCCCATCTTAGTCATATTCCTCAGCACCCCAATCTTTGACAGGAAATTGGGGACATGCAGTTTATCGCTGATGAAGGAGAGCTTCCTCAGGAGGAGAGGAAAGGGAGTGAGACAGGAAGTTAGCCGGCAAGCAGGCAGTCTCAGGTAGAGTCCAGCCTCAGCCCCATACACGGGGATTGCTGGGAGAGAAATGTCACCAGAGTTGGTGTCCTTAAAGCAAGGAGGCAGTATTTTGTGTCCTCTAGCAGTCAGCCATTGGCTGGGGACCATGCCTGAGGCAAGAGTGCACACTGAGAGCAATTCGCAAGAGAAAGCCCTCTAGTGTCATCACTAACTGCAAAGGGGGAGGAGGGGGAGTACACTGGGTCAGAAAAGAGACCTGTGTGCAGTCCCGGAGCTGGGACGCTCAGCACCTTGCCGATACGATGATCCCGGGAAGGAAGCTTGAGGCTGACAAAAGCAGTTCAGGAAAACAATCCCCATGCACTCTGAGAGGTAGCCCAGCTCTCAGGGCTTTCAGAAACATGCTGGTAGAAGGGGCTTGAATTGCAAATGGGCCAGATTGGTTGGTCTGGAATGAAGCATGGCAGTTGGCATGCTCTTGTATGGACAAGTGCTTCTAGCAGCCTCACCTAGTCTCAGTCCCAAGGCAAAGCAGAATGGCTTCTGTCCAGAGAGCTCTCTGTCACTGTGACCGGGGAGGCACACCAAGCATTGGCAATGGGTCTGGGTGGCGAATGAGTGTGGCAGCCTAGAGAGAAAAGGACCTGCAAACAGAGGAAGGCTGGAAGGCCAGGGGCTAACACACTAGAAGGCCGGATTTATAGTTTGGGAAGCCTACTTCTTGTTCAGGACAGGGAGCGCTGAGAGACTGGGAAATGGGGATCAACAATCCAAGGGCGACGCACCGTCTGAACTGGGGTGGGGGCAGCATCCATGAGCAGAGAAGCCTCATAAGCATGGAAGAGGTTAGCCATGGGTAGGGGGAGGAGCGTGAGGCAGGCTGGGACCGGGAGCCTCTCTGCTCCACCAGCCGGGAATCTGCAGACTGGGTGCCGCTCGTGCCACCTAGGGGTGGTCCTGTTTGAGGGTAGGAAGGTCTCCACCTGAGCAGCTAGGCTTCAGGCTCCTGCTTTGCACCCCTGGACTCTTCAGATCGAGGCAAAGGACATGATCTTACTTGGGGTGGGAGCTCTCCCGGACCTTGGTTCCGGAGGCACCAGGACACACCCTCAGGCTCATCTATGCTTGCCATGGGGACTTGAGAGGGGCCTTCTTCCCTGTGAGCCTGCACGCTTCCTCCTTCCCAGGCTATCATCTACGAGGGACAGGACAAGAATCCTGAAATGTGCCGCGTGCTGCTCACTCACGAGATCATGTGCAGGTAAGATGGGGGCTGTCATCCAAGATGCACCCTGACACTGACAAGGCAATGTGCCTTGTTAAGATGTAGCTTAGGTCCCCTGTCAGGGCCTGACACAACACCTCCAGGTCCCTGGGGAAGCTTGGGCAGGGGAGTGGTGAGCTCCCTGGGCACAGCATGGGCAGAGGAGAGGCTCCTTGAGGCCCCATTAGCCTGCCCTGTTTATGTGACTTCTCTAAGTGTTTTTGTAAGAGAGGCCTCCCACAGCTACTGGAAGCTTAACTAACAAAGCTCCGGGGAGTAGCTCTCTCGGAAGAGAGGCACAGGCTGGGCTGGGCAACCCAGAGGCCTCTGGGATTTGCTAAGGGCCCTCGTGGAGGAAAGCTAGCTGCCGAGATGTGAGAATTGCTGGGCAGCTCTTTGGTAGATAAGTGGGGTGGGAAGGGGGAACACAGCTCTTAGCTTCCCCTTCCCTTCACCCTAGAACTTAGCATTTCCTGAAGGGGTTCCCTGGATATCCCAGTCCTACCATGCCTCAGGGGAAGCTCCTGATAAGTGTGTGTGTGTGTGGGGGGGGGTGGAACTAATGTTTACAAACCTGTAGTTGAGACAGTGGCCAGCCTTGGAAGGGAAATTATTTTTTTTAATGATTTATTTATTTTATGTGCATTGATGTTTTGCCTGAATATATAGGTATGAGGGTGTCGAATCACTTAAGAGCTGCATTACAGACAGTTGTGAACTGTCATGTGGGTGCTGGGAATTGAACCCAGGTCTTCTGAAAGAGTAGCCAGTGCTCTATAGCCACTGAGCCATCCCTCCAGCCCTGGAAATGATTTAAAAAAAAGAAAAGCCAGAAAATGCCTCTGGAGTGCCGGGCACAGGGCAGATCTGGGTCCGGGTGCAGCTTACAGGGCAGGTTCACTTTGTGACTATCCAAGAGAGACTACAGACCATCCACTGCTTGGTGGCACAAGGGCTTCATGACCAGCCTCATCCCTAGAGCTAGGCTGGCAAGGGTGCTGCCAAGCCCCTCCCCAACTTTCTCCCTTAAGTCCCCGGAAGAGATTCACCTGCACATATGAATTCTATACCCATAACAGGACGTCTGAGTCCTCACTGGGGCTGCCCCCCTCACTCTGTTTCTTTCACCACTTCTTTCTGTCTTTCTTCATCTTCTCTTCAGCCGGTGCTGTGACCGCAAGAGCTGTGGTAACCGGAATGAGACGCCTTCAGATCCAGTCATTATTGACAGGTACAGGCTTGGGGAGGGGACCTAAGCATACAGTGGAGAGGTTGGGGTAGAGAGGTTTCCTAATGTGGATGGCTTTGAGACCAGGGAGGCTTTCGAAGGGACCAAAGAAATGCCAACCATGGCCAGCTGAGGGGAGTCCCTATGATAGGCTTTCTGGAGCTACAGTCCCCAGCTCCTTTAGTCAGAGGAGCCAGAGAAGAACAAGGGTATGACAGGAGGTATGGGCAAGGATGGCGAAGAACATGGAAGGACTACAGAGTGGAGCTGCTGCAGGCCAAGTGCTGGTCCTCTGTGCTGGATGACTCAACTCTGAGTGCCAGCATTACAGCTGTGCCCTGCCACACCTGCCTTAGCACCTGGATTTTGTTATTTAAGGAGAGAAGTCACAGAGATGGAGAGATGGCATTCAGAGATATCTACAAGGTTTCAGATCTGACCAACTTGGAAGAGGGAAGGAGGTTTAGGAGAGAGCAAGTTTACAGCAAGGTGACGTAGTAGAAGTTTGGTCGTAGCCATCCCATGTTCAGTGAAAACATAGGTTATCGGTTGTGGATTCAAATGTGAATAATTGAGATTGCGGGAATGAGCATTGGTAGAAGACAGGAGAGCTCTAAGGGCTGGATGTGAGGTGTCCAATATTGAGATGTCGTGAATATGTAGAATCAGCAGAAGAGAATGAATAGAAGCTGCCAGAGAGGTAAGAGTGACGTCACAGCAGTGCTATGTCCTGGAACTTAGATCAGAAAATGCCCCAAGGAGGAGGCAGTCGGCAACTGCAACAAATACTACTCAACAACTGATCATTAGATTTTTGCAGTGTCAAAGATATTGATGACCTCAACAGGGATGTTTCAGTGGAGTTGAGGAACATTGCCAAGTCCTTGCACAACTCTAGGGATTGACCTAACTGGTGCAGCAAGAGAATGAAGGAATGCCAGATAGATGGACTCACAGAAAAGCTAAGATTGGCTGGTCTGCTCAATGTGATAGAGAAGCCTTGGCATCCCAGAAAACTCAGCGTGTTTATCATACCTGGTTCAACAGGGAGGTGGGGTTATTGCACAGAGCTGAACAGAAGGTGAGGTTATAACACACAGATGAGCAAGTAGGCAGGGTTGGACAAGGGTGCAGGTCTGGCTAACCTCAGTAGGAGCAGTCTCTGTAGGGAACAGTCTTTAGGATGTGAACACCGGTCAGCGGGTCTGCACACGCCGTCAACATTCAAACTCAGACCCAAGGAAGACTTTTGGTCCCCGTGAGCCTTTCCTGGGGAAAGCTTTGCCACTCCTGGGGGACTGAGCTACCGGGGTTCTAGACATGTTCACGCCCAGGTCAGCAATCCACCTTCAGTCAGGACTTCATTCACTCCCTACGGCGTGCAAAGAGAAAGGGATCGGCGAGTTCAGGTGCAGAACATCCTTGAAGGGGTCAGAGAAGCAGGGTGGTGGCTGGAGCAGTGTTAGTAAGGATGAGGAGGACCCCGGTGTGGCATGCTGAGAGACATCAGTACACAAGGGAGAGAAGGGGGAATTTCCTGTTCATGTCCAGCAGCAGCAAAAGGGGTAGTGCACAGGTTGGAGCACTGGTTTTATCTGGGAACATAGACCGGTGGTCCAGGAAGCAGCCAGGATGACAGGACGGGAGTGAGTTAGTGTCGGGGCTTGCTGACATTCTCCCATGATTGCTTTCTGGTTTTATTTTACGATTGCTCTGTTTTCCCAATGAAGAAGGAAGGTCAGCAGCTGAGGATGAAGATGGAGAGGGACACAGTAGGGGGTGAAATAGTTGTCTAGGAGAGTGAATGGCTCGGGGAGCCTCACATAATTGCCAGGCAGCACTGAAGCACACCCGAGGTCTGTGGTCATAAATTTAGTGAGAACTTTCTCTAAAGCTCTCTTGGGCCTTACAGGGACAGGTGCAGAACAGGTGAGTGGCTGTGTGTGCCCAAGTAAGGGGCTGCCAGTTGAGCACAGTGACAGCTGAGATTATGAGAAAGCTAAAGGCGTGTGCCAGACGGCATTCACAGAGATGGAACGGGACTAAGGAGAGTTGTCTAAGGAGAGGAGTATGGGGAGGGAATGTAGGAATGTAGGTTCAGATGGGGTTGAAGCATTGTCAGAAATGAGTGACTGGGCAGGAAATAAGGCGGAAGTTAGAAGGGGCTTGGAGAGCTGACTGCCTGCAGGCGGGAGTACTTTGTGGTTGGATCAATTAGTAGCATGTGGCCAGCGAAGTGGGGAGGATGGACAGTGTCAACAGAGGGGAAAAAATGCTCAAGGAATTGGGTGGAGAGAGTATCGGAAGAGGAAAATCTGTACTGCCACTGAAATCTTCCGGGCATGTGTAGGGGAGCGTCAGGGTTGGAGGTCGGAATTCGGGAGTGGAGGTCGGAAGGACTGATGGTGAGTGAGGGCTTGCTAAGTAGCTGCTACCGGCAACGGCTACCTACTTCCCCTGTCTCCTCACTAACTGGCAGTAGCCTCCCAGCAGCTGCCGCTTCTCCTTCTCTGCATAAGGCTGTATCCCATGTCTCTCTTAATGGTCTGGTCATGTTTTGTGCTAACTTTTCTCTAAGAGCAGGCGTTTCCTAGTGATTCATCTGAAGGAAATCAATCCTTTGTTGTGAGTTGTATATTTGTTCTATTTGGCTGTTGTCTTTGAACTGTGCTTGTGACTCGGTTTGTCCAGTCTTTAGCTTTTTTTAGTGTTCTGGATTTCGTCATGTTTAGGAAGGCTTTTATACTAACGGTATTTTATTTTACCCTGGGTTTACTAAGGCTGAACCCCAGGACCTCACAGATACTAGTGAGTGTTCTACTGCCGAGCTACACCTTCACCCTCGCCCCTAAGATTACTTTTAAAGTTTATCCCATGGGGTTGGGGAGGTGACACAGCGATTAAAAGCACTGCTGCTCTCGCAGAGGCCTGGGTTCACTTCCCAGCACCCATGTGATGGTTTGCTACCGTCAATAACTCCAGTTTCAGGGGATCCAACACCTTCTTCTGACACCCTAAGGAACCAGGAGCACCTTGGTATACATACAGACACTCAGGCAAACACTCACAAAGTGGCTTGTTTATTTATTCGTTCATTCACTCATTCATTCATTTATTTTTGAGACAGGATTTCTCTGTAACCACCCTGGTGTTCTGGACTCACTTTGTAGACCAGGCTGCCTCGAGTTCACAGAGATCGACCTGCCTCTGCCTCCTGAGTGTTGGCATCAAAGGCATGCACCACCATGCCTGGCTTCAAGTGATTTTTTTTTTAAGTTTTTAAAAAATGGTATGTTCTGTATGAAACATACAAAATAAAAATAAAAATTATTAAAGATAATAATCAGTGCTTACCTGAGAACATACTGATGGATGAGCAGAACGTTGAGAACACCACTGAATGCCAGGCGTGGTGGTACATGCCTGTGATCTCAGCACGCAGGAGGCCAAGGAAGAAGGATTCACCATAGCGTAGGGCTACGTAGAGGCCCTGCTTCAAAACAGCAAACAGAAGTCCCCACTGAGGCTGGCTGTGGGGTTCCTAGTAGTTGGGAAACTTCCATCAGATGCTGAGTTAGAGACCAGCTTAGGATACACAGGGAAACCCTGTACCACAACACAAAATTAAACAAAACTAAAACAAACAAACAAACAAACAAACAAAACCCTCACTGCAACCAGCACTATCCTGTTTCACAGTATTGTCTAGTCCTGGCGTGAGGATAAGTGTGACTTCATTATTTCTAAATTAAGTTATCACAGATTGTATAATCTCTAAATAATATGTTGTGTAGTTAGAGCTGTGTTTGTTATTGTTGTTTTGTTTGTTTTGCTGTTGTTTCGAGACAAGGTCTCACTGTGTAGCTCTGGCTGGCCCAGAACTAGATATATAGACCAGGCTGGCTTTAAACTCAAGAGATCTGTCTTCCTCTATCTTACAAGTGCTGGGATTAAAGGCGTGTGCTACAATGCCTGGCCTCCATTTTTCTTTTTCTATTATTGGGATTCCTTTTTTTTTTTGTTGTATATATATATATTTGTTTGTTTGTTTATTATTTTGAGACACTGAGTAGCCCAGGCTACCACTGAACTGGTGATTCTCTTGCCTCCTCTCTAGTACAGTGCTGGGACAGTAGGTGTTTGCCACACACAGTTTCCAATTTATTTTAGTGTTAGGGTTTTAATCACTATAGACTGATTGATCGATCGATCGATCAATTGATTGATGATGATGATATAGGAAAAAGCATACAGGCCAAGTCCCTCACTTTCTCTAAATTTTTTTTTTCAGGAGAATAGTGGACCTTTGGGCCTTTTGTGTTCTCATGCAAACTTTAGAATCTGCTTGTATAAATCACACAAACACATGCACACACACACTAGTGTGTAATAATAGCCTTTAAGTAATAGTACAATGAAGACAGCTTGTTTGTCCATTTATACAGCTGCCGTTAATGCCTTTCAGTAGCACTGTGTAATTTTTCAAAGCCACACATAGATGCTGTTTTCACCCACTCATTGATTCAGTCGTGTGGAACAGCAGATAGTGGGCAGGTAATGTGTACACCGGGCAGACGGGGATGAGGTACCTAAGGAAGAGTGCAGCTGCATTGTGGCATCTGTGGCTCCTGCCAGCCGGAATCTCTTGGTGGTTAAACGTTCTTAAAAATGCAGTTAAGCTGTTTAAATTATGTCAGAGGTTAAGGTGCGAGAGGGCACTCTCCCACACTCGTGCATTCACGGGTCTGTGTTCTCAAGAGACCTGACATCGTGATACTACTTCTTGCATTGTGGCTTTTTAAAAAATGTGTATGGGTGTTTTGCCCGTGTGTACATATGTGTACAAGGTTCGTACCTGGTGCCAGAGAAGGTCAGAAGAGGGCCCTGGATCTCCTGGAACTGGGGTTACAGGTTCTTTTGAGCTGCTGTGTGGTACGCGAAACCAAACCTGGGTCTTCCGCAAGAGCAACAAGAGCTCTTCATCTCTGAGCCGACTCTCCAGC